CAATACGAACGTGAGAAGGAAATAATTTGTTCCTTCGCTATTTCTCGCAGTAAATGAATGCCACGGGATAGTGGCTAACGTTCGCTAGACAATCTCTCTGACGGTCCAGTATAATGTCTACCATCTTGTTTTGTCTCTTTGGTAGTACCCAGACCCTTGCATCACAGCTAGATCGCTCGACCCCGCTCGTTTCAACGCCCTAGCTTCTTACGCCCTGGTTGGAGCTGAAGAGAAGGGACCGCGCCCGAGTTCAAACAGACATAACAGAATTAATCGCCTTGCCGTTCCCTTTCCCAAGTAACCTTAAAATTTGGCCAGTTCACGTCGTAGTTGTAAAGGGACGGCATAGAAATGTACGTACACAAACGTGTGATACACGTGCAGAGTTGTTGTGTTGCTTATTAAAACTATTGTTTTTCTGACGTTTCCGTTGCCGTCTCCATCATGGTTTCGTAAGGTCCCTATTTCAAAATCTATGACGTCAGAGGGTAACAGTGCACTGTTTCGTTACCCACGAATGTTGACCGAAGACCGCCATTGCAGGGTGGCTTAATGAATTTCCAGCTTTAAAAATTCCAGCTATATAACAAATCACTTAAAAACTTGTCCCTCGGAAAACAAAATTAACTGTTTCCCTCGGGACTAGTCATAACGTATTAAATATGGTTGATGCAGGACCAAAACTGTCCAATTTGAGCTGTCAGATCTGAAGCTGCTTGTCACAGGACAGGTCAAGTCGGAGAGTTAAACAGCCAATGAAAATCGAGCATCAAAGATTGCCAGCTAATAAGGTTTAAACAAATTATTCAATGCAAACAAATCAAAACCAAAAAAACTTCAGTGAGTATGTTTTTGAGTTTCAGTTTGACACATTTAATGTTAGAAACAAAGGTTTTCAAAAAAAGTTCATGCAGTTGGAACTCCATATTCCAAAAGTGTCTCCAAACGTTGGATGTTTTTTATTTGTTTTCGCTTTGGAAGCTGTATGTTGAGGTAAAACTTTGTACCATTTTTCACTCCTGAGTTCTCACACTTTTTTATTGACCCAATTAATTGTTGATAGGTGTTCATGTTATACAATTCAGGGTAATCAGGCTAGTAGATCCTGGTAATTCAGACTCAGCAGTACTTCAGCTTCTTAGAATAACAATCAGAGACAACATCAGAAAACATTTAGAATATTCGAGCAAGAGAAAAGTTCGTGAGGAGTGGGATTTTTCCAAAACGAAAACACGTGATACTGACGTCATACTGAGTCCCAGTCCCAGTCCCAGACCCTCCCCTGAATTATACACCACTCAATCCTATGACCACTACTAACACAGGCCCCGTGGCCCAACGGATAAGGCATCTGACTACGAATCAGGGGATTCCAGGTTCGAATCTTGGCGGGGTCGTTTTTCCCTTTTTTCTATAAAGCAGAGCGTCTAACGCAAAACATGATATTTCAGTGCAAAGCATAGCGCAATGAATAGGGCCTCCAGAAACCAGTAGGCTAATACACCTTTTGCTGTTCATTACAAGAAAAGACGCAATCATTTGTGTGAAACGGCGACCAACAGTGCGAAGATACATTCATCAGCGCAAAAAAGCGAACATTTGCGCCTAAATCAGATTCAATAACGATTTTTGCATTTTAATCAACATTCATTAACATTTTTGGGCATTCATTTGCGTCATTCGACATACAGAAGAAAAAAATATACTTTCATTAACGCCAACATCAAAGTCATTAACACCATCTTGAAAGTCAATAAGGACAACTGACATACATTAAAGTGCAAACACTATTCATTAACATTTTTATGACACTGTTTGCAATTCAATAGCCTTCCTGGACAACCTTAGGATGGATAAGACAAACATTAATGCGCTTGTACAATCAATTGAGTGTTCTTTACATTTAATATACAAAAACCGATTTTCAATTAAACAATAGAAATTCAAACAAATTTGGCCTGAATTTCAGTCCGTTAAATGAATATCCCTCAAAAACCTCGCTATTTAAACATTTTGGGAGGTAGGTTTGCATGAGATGGTACCCCGTAGCACATTTAGCTGCGGTCACAATGTCATCCTCTGCGCAGAGTTTCAAGCACTGCAGTTGTTGTTTCCGAACTCCGCTAGTGAGATTGCTAGGGCTTTGCCCTTATTCCTGTTATACATCTTTAAATTTCAGGACTCGAGATGTCGGCCTTTGGTGTCTCTTTCAGACAACTTAAATCCTTTTTAACGATGTCGAGGGGGGGAAGCATAAGCTGTGTTCGTGTTGGACGGTGGGCTGGCATCCCCTCATACCTAAAGACCACCGACTTATGGGGATCCATTTTTTTCCTCGCCCGTGTTAGAAAAAAAAAACCGACACAGTATTCATTACTCCAGCAGCTGCCGAGGAAAACATCTGATAGGTGGTATTGCCATGGTCATAGTCAAGTTTCGTCCTCGTTGGCCGCACACTTAGCGGTACGCCCTCCACTCCCTGTCGCACTTCACCATGACTTCTGGCCGTCTAGGGTAAATGTATAGCCGCAGCCGTCGACGAACACGCAGTGGCGAAGTACGGCGTGATTCTTTAAATAAATTCAGGCCAATTTTGGGGGGGGAATTGGTATTGTTTAATTGAAAATAGATTTTTGTATATTAAATGTAAAGAACGCTCAATTGATTGTACAAGCGCATTAATGTTTGTCTTATCCATTCTAAAGCTGTCCAGGAATGCTGTTGAATTACAAACAGTGTCATAAAAATTTTAATGAATAACGTTTGCACTTAAATGTTTATCTATTGTCCCTAATGATTTTCAAGATAATGTTAATGACTCGAATGTTGGCGTTAATGAAAGTATGTTTTTCTCTTTTGTATGTTGAATGACGCAAATGAATGCCCAGAAATGTTATTAAGTGCTGATTAAAATGCAAAAATCGTTATTGAATCTGATTTAGGCGCAAATGTTGGTATTTTCGCGCTAATGAATGTATCTCCGCGCTGTTGGTCGCCGTTTCACACAAATGAATGCGTATGTTCTCGTAATGAACAGCAAAAGGTGTAGTAGGCCCCCCACAGGCCGCCCAAGCTCGGTTCATAAATTATCGCAAGTTTGGATATTGTTTTGCATATTACGAACGATTTAAGAGGCTGTCTCAGTAAAAACCGCCCACTCAATTTCGCGTGAAAAATTATTTTGCCTGAAACTCTGGCGAGTGAAAGGCTTTATCGAGACTATAACTAAAATAGGTTTGCTTTGATTCACAATAATTTTCTGGCCGCGCTGGGGGGCGCCGAGTATTTTGTCCCGTCACGGCAATTTTGCACGTCTTGAAAACTGAAAATTTGGCATTTTTTGCGGCGCTGTAAAAAGTTTTATTTGCGCCATCTACCAACGAATTTTATACCTATTTATAGGTAAACATCTCTGGTTTTTCCTGAAAGTAATAGTTATCCGCTAAATTTAGCTGGAAAGACGAAATCAAGCAAAATATGACCCCAATTAATTGCCTTGGAACGAAAGGCCAAAAATTACACTGTTTTAAAAGCTTATTTCTGACTTTTGGGACATAATTGAAAGCTCTAGACTAAATAGGCGCAAAGATAGACCATCTGTTATTAATAATATAAAAAACCCCATGTACGATTTCAGTATTTTAAAAGTTATGACCGTTTGTATCAACGCGTATGCGAGCTAATACGGTATTTTCAGATCTAGAGTAACGGATCTACCTCAAGCAGATTTTGTCGAAAGTACGGCTTACCTAATTCATTACTGGCACTGACTCACAAATTGAGCCATATTCCAATCCCTGAGATGCCGGACTCCATAAAATTCCAGTAAATGTGCTTTAGAAACTGCTGGTATGCGGCCATTTTTGAATCCCATGCTAACAATCCGAAGCTCAAAACAGGTGTCACGTTTAGAGCTAAGTAGCTCGGTAAAACAACCGTTCAGAGGTGAAAGTTTGCTCGAGAATCAGAAAATCAACTAGGCAGGTCTCATTTTGGATCAGAAAATTGAGATTTCAGTGCTACAACCTCGAGTATTCAACAATTTTAACTACTATACTGAATTTCTCATACAAAGTCTTAAAATCGTTCGTAATATGCAAAACAGTATCGAAACTCGCGGTAATTTATGCATCAAGCTTGGGCCGCCCGTGGGCCCCCTCACTAAATGGTACACGCACAATTATTAAAGCTTTCAACTGTCTTATATAAACTTATCTATTGGACGACTCGTAGAGCTCCTGGCTGCCAGCAATCTACGCTCAAGTGCTACACCTTAGAGTTCGAGTCTTTCCTCGACCACCCGACCGTCGCTTATTCAGCTTGCACCTCATGTGGAAGTTTGCTTCTTAAGTAATTTCTCTGAGGGGCAGTGTTTGCACTAATTTCAGTAAAAGAACATTTATTTAAGGCAACATATTACACCTTTTTCTATAGTTTTCTTTTTCATCATTTTCTGTGTTGTTGTAAACAGTCAACAGATAAAACAAGGATTTTTCGGTGGGTCGCTTGATAGCTCAGCTTGTCTAAAAACTAACAAATCACATTTTTTGTCTTAGTTGGAGTCTATCTGACTTTGATTGGAGAGTTGAGAAGAGTATATCTACCGTCTATATCTATTATTCGACTAATTTATTAAGTTTGAATCCCCAGAATTACATCATTTGAAGTCGCTCATCACTTGGAGTATTTGCTAACTACCCGGCATCAGCTGACGTTTAATTCCTTCGACTTTTTTGCGGATTGGTTTGTTTCAGCCACCTGACAATCATTTTTATACAGAGGAAATAGAATCTCGTGAACCAGCGAGATTCTATTTTCATCACGTTTCCCTAGTTAATAAAATAATTTCATTGGTTGGCCAGTACCAATGCTATTCATGTTACCATGTGGAAATAATTTTGAAAATTCTCTGAAAAATAACGCAGTAACTAAAAACAAGTAACACATGGTACCAATATCTTCAAAATAAATTGTTTTCTAATAGCAAATACTTTTAAAGGCTATTTCCAGAAGTAGCACTGTAACATTGTAATAAGATTTCCAGTGTAAACAGGATTGTAATTGTACATCAGTGCTGCCTTCTCTTCTTTGATGCTTGGAAATTGATGGGAGCTTAAGCGAGCTGAATTGAAAAAAAAAATACAAAGTTTAAGTATGGACTGCAGGAATTTGTTTCTCAAGTCAAAGTGCACGACTCGGGGATCACATTTAGCAATTGTTGGTGGTGTTGTTGATCGTCTGTTGGTTTTGTGTGTGTCTGTTTTTTGCTTTCTTTTGTTTTGTTTCCTCGCTGATATTTTAATCTTTAAGGTTAAAATATCGACACAGTTGACAAAGAAAACAAATTGAATATGGCGATGAAAGGAAACAAATGATGGCTTCAAAGTACTAACGGTTATTTGGATTTCTAGGTAACCTTAACAAAATCTTTAAATAGAAATGTTAGTAAGGTAGTCAATAGTGAAGTGTTTAGTTCTTTTCAGCCAAATCAGTCAAATGAACGATAATTCAGGCCCTAACAATCGCTTTTTATGAATTATACATGCAGTAAAATTACACAAACTGTTACCTTGGTTGACGAAGAAGTTAGCCCAGTATTGCCCGGCAAGAATGGCCTCTTGGGTGTGCTTTATGTCTTTCACACGTGACCATTCAAACTGGGGTTTTGCTGGATGCCACTGGAACAAGTAGAAAGGGTATTTTCGTGCTGTGAAGGTAATATAAGAAAAAGTTGGAGAGTTAGACGTGCCATCTACTTTACTCAGAGCTACTATGCATTGCCAAACAATTGAAAGTTCTTTATGCAATACTTGGAATTTTGAAATTAAGATGCTTTTATACTGAAAAGAAGAAAAGAAAAAGATTGCTAAGAAATGGTTCCCCTTATTATGTTATAACACCTCATACCTTTCGAAATCCAAGCTAAAAAAATCATTTTCTATTAAGGTTCATGAGGACGTAATGTTCGACGAAAAATTTTAAAACGTTTCAGTCCTGGTGGAAACCAGTTGAATTTTTTTTCAGCTGTGACTCTGGGTTTTAACAGGAATACAGCACGGGCTTCCTCGGGTCTTAATTAGCAATTAATGAATGAGGCGGAGTAGGATATGAAGAATTTAGCAGATCGTCGAGGAGGGAGTTAACACCCTCCGAGATAGCTGCTTAATTCTTCATTTCCTACGGAAGCCGAATTCATTAATTGCTTTATTATTCATTCAAAATAATTCCTAGTTTAAAAACATAGCTAAAACATGCTTAACTGCATCGATATTAAGTTTATCTTCGATAGTGTACGTTTGGATTTGTCCAGCTCCGTTCATTTTCTCCAAATAGCATATGTCGCCCTCCGAGTTGTCTTCTGCTGTTTTTGTTATGTTCTTAGCCATTATTTCGCCCAGTTCCAGCTGCAGTTCTTACTCCTGAAACGACTGAAGGGTCGGCCATTTTAGTTTTCGCAACGAAAACAAGTCAACCTGGTCCCCAGGTCCTCTTGGTTAACGGTGCATTAACCTGTAGAGGGCTGCATTTTTGACGTCATTTCCTCGTTAAACACAAAATTCTTCCAAATTGGGTCATCAGTAACTGGTTATGGTCAATTATGCGTGTGCTTTTAGCCAATCAGAATTGGGCAAATATTTTGAATGAATAATAAAGGAAAATAATATACCCGCAAAGTCGCATTAAGACCGTGAGGCTTGCAAGTCCCACAAGGCTGAAAATGCGGAGACGCATCTACTGCCGCAAAGCTTAACACCAAGCGCCCCATCAATGGTTACCCATCAACGCTTAAGTCCCAAGCGACGAGAAGTCTGTGCCGGTCTTCCAAATATTCACCAAAGCATTCTTTTAGATATCGTCCAGTTTAGCCGGAGTGTAAATGCCGCGGCAGCGACTGTAAGAAAAGAAGTACGCCGGGCTCGATGAGGTTTTTCAGGGTCAATACATCCAAAGTTTGAGCATAAAGGCTACGTCGCCATTAACAAAGATTCAGAAAAATTACCGCCACTGAAACAGCTGTAGATAAAGATGAAAATTTGTTATAATCAGGGTTGCATTTCATATTTTAGTGGACAACAATAGCTAATATTTGTGCATTGTTAGTTACTGCTGCTCACGTGAAAATGAAACTTGGAGACAATTGTTGGCTTCACACTAGAAGCGAAGGTAGTTTCAAGTAAGCAGTTGATTCAAGTGCTTACTTGAGACATACGTACTTCGTTTTTTTACTAGTACTTAACAGCGGTACAGAAAAAAACAAGCGACGTCTTCCTCTGTATTTCTTTAGAATGGCTCAACAACGCGCCTTGCGACAAAGAAATCGACGTAGGGCTTGGGTTTGGTCTCTTTCGCGACGTTCTTAGCTAACCAAGACATGATTAATGTTTATCTGTCCGTTCATCATTAGAGTCTTGGAATCGCTGCGCGTGCACACCGTGCACATGGCTTCCATTTCTTATTGGTCAAGTGTGCTTTCGATCTCAAGTGTAGTGTAGACCATACTTGGCAGCAAAGCCCATTTCCCTTTTATAAACGGTCGTTGCCATTTTTGAGGGTCGATGCCACCACTAGTAACCAAGCCTTTAGTCATAATGGATGTAACATATTCCCTGGATTAAGTTACAATAAGGCAAATAATACGTTTTTGAACAGTCTTAGAAGGAACAAAGGTCAAGCACAAGTTGAATTTACGATAAAAATTATGGTAAGAGCTAGGGTCACCTGTTATTGATGAAACAGTTAACTAGTGTATGTACTTAATTTTTTCGAAATTTTGGCGGGTTGGTGTGGTACGAAAGGTTCAGGTTCGAGGTCCAGGTTCGACCTTGGCATGCGATTTTCTTTCTTTTTAATAGAAACGGTTTCAATCACAGGTCAAAAATTTTCTGAGCCGTCTTAAAAATGGCAGCGACCGTTTACCAAAGGGACAACTTCGGCTCCTTTGAACTACGATAATTTCCATGATCAAAAAGTAAAGTTGAACATTTTATCCCCTCACACTCAAAGTAGGTTCCAAGTACACTTACATTACACTTGCAAGCTCTAGTGGGAAGCCAACAAATACCTTGAATAATGGGAGGCTCTTACTTGTTAACACGAAATTTCCGACAAAAATTTTACCGAATTGTACCCCTTATTTTACTGCCTTATAAGATATAAACAATCTTGACCCTAAAAGGCCATATAAACGACTGTTAATCTCGAGAATCTTTCATTTAAAAAAATTCTAACGAGCGGTATCAAAATTATTCGCTTATTTGTTTAAGTATACCAAAATGTTTACAAAACCGCCAATATGAACATATTAATCAAATCCTTCTTTCTAGCAATCGGCTTTAGCTATTCCCGCGGATCTTTCACATACGTTTTAAAAAGATTGAAACTAATATGAGGTGAAATTTCATTTCAAAAACGCGTCGCTTTCTACAGATAACGGCCAAACATCAAGATTGCCTAGTTTTTACCGTATTTATGATCATAAAAACTTCATCTCAAAATGTCTCGCTAACGCTCTTATAGATTTTGCTTAAACTTCACGAACATCGAGGCAGCTATTATAAAAAAAAGGGTTCCGTGAATGATTTTTGAAGAAGAGGTCCTGGTGTCGAGAAACAGGGCTGCTAGTAAAACAAGACGCTGTGGGAGCGTACATTTGGGCGTCGATGTACTACGCGTGTGTGAAGTTTTTTTTTATGTGCATTAGGGATATGTGAGTAGTGCAGTAACCTTGTACATTTTAGGGGTTGGAAGCCTGCGTAGCAAGCCGGTTTTCAACTGAGTTGTTACGCAAAAGTTGATTGCGTAAAAACGCTTGCTACGCAGGCTAAGGGGTTGGTTGAGATGTTATATTTGAAGTGGATTGGAAAGATAATGGCTGTAGTTTCTTAATCAGTGAAACTTGTTTCCGTACAATTTAATATGAAGTAACAAAATATGAGTTTTTTTTGGAAAGTAAAATTGATTTTAGGTGTTGCAGTGAGGTAGTTGTGGGAGTCCTTAATTGGTTATTAAGGGATACTGTAGTTACAGTCTGTTGAAATTAAGTGGTGGTTGTGAAAACATACTTGTACTTATTTTAAACATTTCCAGGCTTTCTGTTTAGGATTGTTTTTCGGTCAGTTTTGATAATATTTGTATGGAGACAACGTGGATAAGGGAAAGTTCATTTAATATAGAGAAAGGGGGTATGAAGATGTTGAGGGCTAAAATTTGTGTGTGTGTTCGGGGGGCTTGGAAAAATCGGTAAGGTCAAGAGGGAGGACGTACAATCTGGATATAGAACTAAGGGCCTGATCACTTGAGCTGGGGTGGCTCGCTTTGCGGAGATCTCGGCACCTTAGTTAAACGCAACAAAAATCAACTTTGCGATTATATTATATTAGCAGGGATCCCAGAATTGCTATGCCGGGATCCTGGGCGGAAATTTCCCAAGTAATCACGCTTGCCGGGCGGCCTGGCGAATGAACCAAGCGTGAAACAGGACCGAGGGTAACACAGTTTTCATGCCCATTGCTTCCAACCTCTATATAAAAATGGCGGCTCTGGGCTGGCCCTTTTCATGTGCTACCAGGATAAAAGTCACCTCGACATGACCTAGCCAGCCCGGCTCATGTGATCAGGCCCTCTCTGTGCGCTGTATTGTCACGCCGAAAGTTTTGAAATTTCCCTCTTTCGTGGCTCGTGTATGAGAGTAAGACTTAATCTAATTAACCCAATGGTCCAAAAATAACTGTCATGAACGTGGTTTGCACGTGAAGATGTTGGACTCTTCCCCTTTCAGGGTTCGATCGTGAAAGAATGCAACTTGTTCACGGGATCATTTGTCTCAATAAGATTTTAAGAAATCCGAAAATCTGCAATGAAATTATGCGCCATTCAATTAGTTACCGTTATTTATCTAATGCATGATCACCGAGTTTTTCGTGACATCTTTGGCTCTCGAAAACTGAGGGCAAAAATATTGTCAAACTCTTAGCAATAGGCCATTACTGGCAATGAATAGTCTGTACAATAAACAAGGGCAGTGACCGGTACCTATGGTCCTGGTTAAAAACATTCACCCCGTGTGCTGCAAGGGCAATTATTTACCAAAGGGAAAATTTAAGTTATTTAATAGTTTGTTTCACTCGGTGTACCTTGCCGCATTTTTCTGCCGTGCTTTAGCTGTTGGACGTATTATAACGAGCATAAACGCTGTGTCGTGCACATCGCGCGACGGACATTCGCGTAGCTTGGCTTGTTTACTTGTCTTGTTTATGTTCGCACGTATTGCGTGCCTACTGCCAAATCAAAACAAGCGAACTCGGTTCCTCTATTTGGGCGATGCCCAAATAATAAGTAATGGGGTCATTACGTTGCTATGACAACTCCGATGTCATTGCAATCCTGATCTTAACAATTTTTTACCTTTATCTAATACAGCTGTGGTGGTAATTTTCCAAATCTTTGTTAATAGAGACGTAATTTATGCTCAAACTTGGGAGGTATTGACTCTGAAAAACCCCACAGAGCCACCTTAAAACGATCCCTGGTGGTGTAAAATCCTTCGGACCCAGTATACTCAGAGTTTCTTGAAAATGGCGGGTCGTTAGCAATCATTGGCTGGGAGCAAATCAAGACGAATTGGGTGGTCATATCTAACGTAAAGACAAGGAATTCTCGTTGATTCTTGTCGTTTCAACTATACAGTTACGTATAATAGTGAAGGATCGTCTAAAAAGATCTTGAAATGACGAAGCAGAATTTTTGCGACTTCCCCGTGCGCTTGTTTTTTCCCCCGATATTTAAGTTCGAAAGGCAGTGTCATTGCTGCAGAAAAACCCACAACAGCACTCCACAGAAGAACATGACAAAGCCCGAAGCGTTGTTAATGTTCTGAATGTTAGCACTTTTATAAATGATTATTTTATGTATTTCAGGAGTATTTCAACGAAGTGTTTCACCGATCTAGAACTTAAAACTGCACAAATTACAAGTAAAAAGCAAACTATTTCTAATTATGAAATCCTATTCTTATTTTTATGTATTCTTTGTAAAGGCAACATATATGAGGACTCATTACGAAAAACATAAAACTGTCACAGTCCCTATGAAGTAAACAAATCGATCGAACAAAACTTCAATATTTAAGATGCTTCTTTTATTACTACATCAAAGCCTTAGTAAACTTACCTTCCATCGTTGATATGAATGGTTTTCCTTTTCTATCCTTGTTTATTGATACTATTTGAAAAAAGTTTCTCAACTTTTCATCCTTATTGAATGTCTACGTGAGAAAAAAAAATAAGAAGAACGCGATAGTCAAGAACATAGTTGTTAATTTCTCTGACGTTTGCTGCGCTAAATCACCCAACCAAAGACCCGCGATCAATAGCATCAACCTCGTCCCCAAAAGGGCTTCAAGTTTCCCGCCGCTGTTAGAGGCATCCTCATTCCCCCCATGTGGCATGGGCATCCCCTTCTCGTATTCATAGCTTGGGGTTAGGGTTACCGAGGATGCCCATATCACTAGGGTTTTTGGAATGGAGATGCCCAAAACGAGGTGATGCTCATATCACTGTGACACCGTCATATTGGAAAATGAAAAGACCCTGGGGACGAGTCTGTAATAGTATAGCTCAGGGGATAGAGAAAGCACAGATTGTTGTCAATATCAACCCCCTTTTGCGGTTCAAAAACACTGTGAACTACCACTACTACCACAACCTTGATAAACCAGTTTTGCCTACCTGTACTAAGGTTTGATGCTTTTTGCTTACTACATCAGAGTAGACTAACTCAGTTTATTTACCTCCGGCATGATTCCTCTGAAATGGTTGTTATAGTTGATGTCCTGTTGGGTTATGAAGTTGATAATATAATCCGGAGCAGATCCTAACAGCTTAGTTGACTTATAGTCTAAGAGATGAAAGATATGTTGAGAATGAGTGACAGTTTGAATGTTGTTTAAAATTGTATTGTTTTGTCTTGTATTGCACAATTTAAAATGAAGCTTAAAATCGAACCAATTTATAAAAGCATAAACATGAAAAAAAAAAGTCTCATATCCAGGAAATTTAAAGTCGATGTTTCCACGTCACCTGACGATATCCTCACATTTCATAATAATAAACAAAAAATTTGTGAAGTCACAAAAGCACTTATAAAATTATTGTGTTAATGTATTCGTTTAAAAATGTGTATATGAATGACGACGGTAGCGATCATTAACACGTTCATATTGTGTATCGTGTGTCGTGTATCGTTCATACACGTTCTACGTAGGGGACGTAGACCCCTGTGGTGTGTTCAACCGTCACTCATCACATCATTCACATCATGGGTTGGGTGGGTACAGTAAGCTCATAAATGAACTGAGAGCGGCTGCCAGTGGCGCCTTTGCATGCTGACGTCCGAGCTTACTGTTCACATGTTCAAATGTACTGTAAGACGGCACATCTGTTGTCCTCTCATCCACGACTCTTCTTCATCAGGTTGTGGACTCGTGTGTAATCTACTTACTCTGCATTGCACAGGTTACATTGAAACTTGCATACAACACATTGTTTGGTTTAAGCCACAACAAACAAGTTGCGGTTTATCTCGTACCCAGATCTCTCGTCCCCGAAGCCGAAGCTGTCGTCGACTAGACATCTGGGTAAGAGATTAAAAAGTGGTTTGCTTTTGCAGTTATACGTTTCATTCTTTGTTCCTAGTAACCTCGTTCTCATTACTAAAACAATAGCAACAGCGAAGATAGAAATAGTCAGTTCCCCGCGGAAAAAAAAAAGCAAGTCCACCACAAATGGACAGAAAACAGGGTGAGAGGCGGAAAAATAACAGATCTTGCGACGAAAACTGCAACTATCAATAACTGCTTAGTGGGCACTAGGCTGACAAGTAACTTAAGCAATGCGGGGAGTGTATAGTGGTTTCTATGCTGGTATTATACTTTTTTGATAACCTTCTTTAGTATAAGTACTGTATTATTATGTAACAAAGTATGCAACTCTAGTTACCTGAAGGCAGCTCAAGCCTTAAACTGATATTTCGTGCATCTGTAAGACTGAACAAAGACTCGTCATACTGTCCTTTATTCACGTCCCTTTCACCGATCAATAAGGCCAATAATTCCAGTCCTAAACACTCCGCCCAGATCGGAAAAACTTCCCCAGTCTGGTCATGAGCCTGTAATTGTAAATGAACAATTGGGCATAAATCGCTGATAAGCTACGCTTGTCTCTACTGTCTTTGAGGTCTTGTAACAAAAGTTATAAAATGCTCCAACCGATAATGAACACTGTATCTGAAGCTGGTGGCTTTCCAGTGTTCGACGCATCCTCATCCCTAGAGCGTTTCTTAGTGGTCGACGAAGAACCTTTTATCCTACGTTTCGATCAGATACTGACACAGAGCATTTAAAAGTTCAATTTCCAATTTTCATTTTTCTCAGGATTAGTAAGGTATAAAAACAAGTTTGAAACAAAATAAATCTGGAACCGCCGGCGGTAATCATCGCTTTAAGCTTGAAACACGATGATGAAAAAGTTGAGATGATGATGGCAAATGAGTGACGATGATGAAGAAAAACAATAAGGACGAAAAACCGTCTGACAGTACTTTCACTTATCTGGTTCTTGTGGGACGTGACGTAAAAGAACCCGCAACATTGTTCGAAAAGAGTAGGGGACGTAAACTCCGGTGGTGTGGCCAACTTTTTCTGGGCTGGGTGGGTTACCCGTAAGGAGAGATCTTAATACAGGGATAACCTGATGATCCTCCTTCAGGTATCTTAATGGCTATTTGTAAACAGTTGATGTATGTAACATATAGATCAAGCCCAGTCTTAAAGCGAAGCTTCCGTTTATACAATTATTATAAAAACAATAAACTTTAAGCCATTACATAGAAATATGGCACCCTCCATTTACCTTTTGATCAAGGGATCGGGTGGTTTAAAGGTGGCTCGACCTGGTTTTTTAGTGTCCACATCAATTGTTCTTTGACTGACACGAAATGCATCAGATACAAAGCAGGAGATTGCATTGTTCCTCCTTGTCTGGTATAGATAACATTTCTTTCATTTTTCTTATCGTTATACCAGCCACAGATTTCAAATAGAGATTTTTCTCATAAAAACTTGCCAAAATAGGTACACATAGGTGCAAGATAGCTACATGAGCTACAATTCCGATGAGAAGCTTTAAAAAAGGCAAGATTAAGATTATTAATCAATGCTTATAGATTGAGGAGACGTTAAAATGGTAATGGTGTCAAGCGCGTCGCTATGGATACGTCGATCTCCAAAAAGATTGAGTTTTCCCCCCTCGCTAACAGTCTCCCCTTCCCCTCTCTCACAGTCTGTAGGGCGGATGGGTAGGCAGGGGAACCTGACGTCATAACCATATAAGTGAAAGCAATCCGTAATGTTGTTAACGGGAGCAGGAAAAAAGTAAAGTTGGATTGCACTGTTTATTCCACAAAGTACAATCATATTAAAAAGTCTTTTTATTGAAACCTGGCAGCATTCTTAGTCTTCTCATCAACTGAGCAGTGTTGTGGCTGTCAGTAAAGTGACGAAAGTGCGTGGTCACAAACAAGATCTACTCAATTATATAATAACTTTACTACACTCTCATTGGCCTTGCAAATTTAAGACAGTGCTACACAGGATGCAGTTCAAAGGCGGAGTTTCTTGAGGATCAATGTGATCCCTCCTTGTTTCCAGAAAAATAACGATACTTAAGGTTTATGATGAAATAAACTACCGTATCGTGGTTAACACTACGCACAAGGTAAATCAATGTCATTGTTTTGGCTAACACAAAAAAAACAACTATTCATTTTAGAAAATATCTTTAAATTATCCAAAGTTTCAAGACTTTTAAGTCTTGAAAGACTGAAGGGAGAGGAAGGTTGGCTATTACCCCGACAGGAAGCTGTAGTAAGACCCCCTATTGAAATATCGTGCCTACGCCCATGGGATCCTATTCCGTTGTGGAACAGTATGAAAACTAACCTTGGTCGCAAGGTCCAGTAATTTTTTGCCGACTGTTGTGTATCCTGACTGGTTCAGCTTTACATGGCCTCCTGGAAGGATTACCCTTGTCACAAAATCAAACACGATTAAAAAGTATTATATTAGAAATGAGACTGGGTATTTTTGACGAAATCTAAGTAGAGACGATCGCTTTTGTTTTGAGACTGAAACGAAGCAGATCGCTTTGCCATTTCATCCAAATACATGTAACTGAAATACATTTTCAAACGCAGAATACTCTAGTGAATCAGCGGATTCATGATGCACTAGAAACCTATAGTCGCACCAACCCTGATTAAACTGCGTTCTTAAGACAAAAAAACAAACAAACAAATAAACAGTAAACTGATCCTCACATGATAAATTAGTTTCATGATGTCTATCTATGTTAGGCTCCTTGCGTGTCTTTCTGACAGACAAGAACACGGTCATTGTGGATGCGTTCCAGACCAGGGAGAGGGTATTTAACAATACGTGGAAGCTCCACCTAGAGTTCCAACCCCTTACCCTTTTATATACCATTTTTTTACGGAAAGAGTACTCTCTTGTACACGTTTTACTGACCAATGGTACCCCCGTTTCACATACCTAGTTAAGAACGTTGCATCCCCTTTAATTGCTGTAAACTGACCCTGTTTTTAATATGAATAAGTCACTAAACCAGGACATTTTCTTGCGTCTTTTACATCCTTAAAATGCGTCTCTGAGCCATTTTTGGCCTTTTTACAGACCAAAATGGCAGATTTCTTTACTCTTTCACATACTTCAGCTATTGAAATCCCTACCCTTAAGCTTGAAAAAGGTGCCCATTTCGGACGGAGCCTCTCCGTATAGGCTTCTAGAGGGAGTATCTCCCGGGGTTCCAAAGGAACATGGAAGACTTCAGAGTAGCGGTGACTTTATTAAAGTAAAGCTTTTTAATACTTAGAATATCAACGTACCCGTTTAGAGAATGAAACATCCTTTCTACTTCCTCCATGCTGGAGTTAACACTGGGGAACTTAGTGAAGGAAACGAGTTTTGTGTACAGTCACAATGAAGATTGGTCATAAGGGTTGAGATCGACGCTACTCTGCACGTGCGATTTATCTTTACTTTGTTTAAGAGAAACGGTGATGGTTTTTGTTTTAATGAATGAGCAGGGTTATCAGTTCCTCGAATGTAATAAAAATTATAAAGAAAGTGATGACAGTGATGTTCTGATGACCATACTATTCTCCATGGTGATGGTGATGATGATGGTGGTGATGCTAATAATCATGGTAAAACCAAAACAGCAAGGAAGTACACACTACCAAAAACCCACGGTAAATGTCCAGTACTTCACACATGTACACAGCCCATACATATAACTCGGGCATTAGCAGCCGGTTTCCTGCCAGCAGCTCCATGTTTTCTGTGGAGCTGTCGCTTGAGGGGGCTCTTTGCATTCGCCTCGTTGGCAGGAAAGGCTCGCTGAAAACGACTTTGACCGTGCTAAGCAATAATGAGGGCCACTATTGGGGCGAAACAGCTGTCCAAGCGGAATGCCATAACTCGAGTGATATGTCCATGAAAGCGTTACTGGCTAGCAGGCCTTAGGTTGGTGACGGTGTCACTTGCTTTGAGGATGTTAATACTAATCATCATATCTACCGTCAACAAAGTGGTTTTATGGTACGTCATAGGGACCGCGAAAAAAATTTTCTCCGGAGGGTAAATAGAAAACTAGACGACAGGAGTAGTAGGAAAAATTGGTGCGAGGACTGGTGGATCAAGGTGAAATAATTCACTTCACAGGGAGAGAGTCGTAAAGGTTGTTTCAGGAATGCAGACGTTTGCAAATTAGTTTGGAATGAAATGAAGTTATACGATAAAGGTAATAATAACGATGATGAAAACAGTACGATCCATAAGAGAAAAGTAGTACAAAATGTCGAAATGTAGCTCTTTTGGGATAAAAGTAATCGAAAGACGAAAGAGGTGATTTTCTATGCTAAATATAATTGACAGATGAAAGAGGTGATTTTCTGTGCTAAATATAGTCAATATACACTGTAACTAAGGAAATAAGTAAGATAGTAAGGATACAAGATTGGAGCAGCTCGGGCCCCGGCAGACTCTAGGAACTTGACATATACGGCCACAAGATACTGACTACCAAACTGCAGCAGTTTTCCACCGGTCTCTTGTGTTACAATACCTTAAAAGAAAATAATGTTATTGTACACACAGAGGTACCGATGATCACCGTCTTAAAGTTCTTTATTTAATCGTAACAGGCTGTACTAGCTTAGCAAACAGCAGTTATAAAAATCAACAGTAAATCACACAGTTCCACTCTGAAAACTAAACTTTAATGCAAATAGAATTTTAGTACTTTTAATCTGTCTCTGTTATAGCTTACCATAAAAAGAACAAACAACAAATTTTGTTTCAAAATTCCTTAGAGAAAGCCTCTTCCATTATTAAACCATACAGCATGATACGGCTACGATCAAATTGCACTGAGATTGCTCAGATCACATTCTTTCTGCTCGCTAAAACGTTTCGTACATTTTTTCATAGTTAAACATCGTCCATTTTTTACCGGACTTTTTTCACTCTTTCCTGTCCTCATTGATCGGTTTCAAAGCGGCACAAGAACAATGATCAAAATTAAACATTAACCTTTTTCTTGGCTATGACTAGGTGTCTAGATAATGATACACTTCTCGATTTGCAACGACGAAGGATAGCAGTGTTTTCAAAATTAGAAACCGGTGTCGCAAAAATATTGCAACAATCTGTTGCGCTGAAAGTCCTCCCGAGTAACATCGCTTTAAGACGCGTATGTCGCGTTTTTATGTTAAATATTCCTCAGTTTTCTATCCCTGCCTTATGCAAGTTTACAGTGAAACGAGTACACAGTTTATCATCACTTCCAAACGCCCTCTAGTACTGAAGGAGCATTGTAAAGAAGACCCAGGAGGTAACCTGCGTATCAGCCGAAATTTTCTTTTGTAAGTGGCGCTCTCTCCTCCGGCCGCAGAGGCCTTTTTGTATCGTATGAAGGCTAGGGAGAAAGAAATCGGAAAGCGTGCGGGGCACGATGAGAAGGGGAAAGAGAGAAGAGAGGCGGTTCTTGGTGGGTTCTCTGGCAGGATTTGCGGTTCTGTGGTTTGGGCTAAACCAGTCGACGACTATTTGAACGATATCTGAAGGCTTTTGTGAAAATGGTTGTTTAAAAGGCTAGTATACGCAATTTGATGTAGTTTCCATTTTGTCTCACAGATTTTTTACGCTTCGTGTTTTTGGAGCGATTGTCTGCCATCTTGGCTAGTCATGTTCAGTGTTATCAACTGTGGTTCTTCTTCATATAAAGGTCGAAAACTAACTTAAAGGTGAGGCCCAATTCCGGTGAATTACACATACCGTACTTCAAACTGATGTTAGCCTGCAGCTGCAAGAAAGCCTTTCTTTGATTTTAAATTCCAAGTATGGAACCGTCGAACGAGAATAATAATTAACTTCAGCCATTAGTAATGGTAACAGGACTGAGTGGAGTCCAATTCGGTCTGTAATCATACGAGTGATTAACAAAATAGGACGACCGCGTAGCGGGAGTCCGATTTGTTTAATCACGAGTATGATTACAGACCGAATTGGACGACACGAAGTTCTGTTACCAATTAATCATAACTTTAACAAAATTTGTGACATAAAAGGCTATCTTTTAAATCAAAACACAAGAAATTCCGAGATTTTTATTGCTAGCAGTGAAAAAAAAAGCCATTTAAGCGCGCGCGTGATGGCGCGTACTGTCCAATTACTTAGGCATGACGCGTACTGTCCTACTAACTGTCCAATTAAGGCTGAAATCAGGGCAGTTGATAGCCAATCAGATTTGACAATTTTGTTATAGTTATGATTAAGACGTATATTTTTAATAGTCACCTTAATAGTTTCCCTCGCCCTCCGCGCGCTTTCCATTTTTTTTTATGATTTATCTAATTTTTACTCTGATAAATGCGGGAGCCTGTGCGGAGGAGATCGGGATTCTATTTATGCAATTATAAACTCAAGGATTGAAGCATAAGACAGAGGAAAATAAGAACAAAAAGTTTGGTCGTAGTATCACTTTAAGGAGGTTACAAGCAAAGGGCCTTCAGACAGGTAAACTCTGTTACAACGCCTGCCGATCAATTGCTGGGGTACCAGCTGTCAATCCTCTTTCACAGTAAAATATATACTTTTCCCTGAAGATACAACCGGGCCTTTGCGTTGGAAAATAGTTTTTTGTAGTTCAATATTTTGTGTTTTATTTTATTCCTTTTGGCAGCTGAGCCTTTCAGTTATTCGAATAAAACCTCAATGAAGAAACGGCAGTACGTAAAATATCCGAGCTTGTTATATAAAAGACTATTATTATACTTCACTGTCTGTTTTAATTAGAAAAGTATGTCATCGAACCTGTTGTAAGCACCAGAGGACCACTTCTATAACTCAAATGTCGGTCACTATATTTAATTACCACGAACGTACAGAGATGTATTTTAATGTTCGTATCGACGAGAAGTTAGCGGGATCCGTTATTGATACCATGTATACTTTCTTTATTGCACAACTCAACTTGATCTATCCAGTTCGGGGTAGTAAAGACGGAGTAAAACCGGAGCAACGCACAAGCCACCACCACAACACAAGGACACGGGAGGACGACAACGAGCACGAGATTAGACTGAAAGTTTTTATTCGCTTATTCTCAATAAAAAAAACCTCATAAAGGTTCATTTCGCTTTTCTCACCAGAAATGTTAACGCAGTTGATTTTTTATTGACGGATTTTAAGCCCTCTCTCGATTGAATGACAAAACACCTAACTAACTTACTTTCTTCCGTCACTACGACATTTTTGCAGAAAATCGCAGTAGAATGAGGACGGCTATCGCGTCTTCCCGCTAAAATGACGCTGGTTCACATCGGCGCACTACTTAGTATTGGGAAAATGTTGTTCTCGTAGTCGTCCTCACGGCTCGTATAGGAATCTAAAGATCTCTACTATTTTAGCTCAGTGCCTGTAGAATCGACCCTTGCAGTTGGGCCGGCCAAGGGAGAGAGTCACAAAATTCACAAGTTCAACTTATCCAGTGATCTATGTTCTATTCTATTAAAATGGACTTTATGTTAAAAGAAATTAAAAAGTACATTACTTACCAATAACTGGCCGATTATTTTTTATACTTCTTTTGTCGGCAAGAAATTTTGTTTGTGTCTGATCGGAAAGGGTAAAAAATGTTTCAAAAGCAAAGGTCAGCAAGAAACAAGCAAACATTTTCTTTCCAGCTCTTCGGAAAAGTGGGATTCAAAACTCGAGGCAAGATAAATTAAGTGTAAATCTGTCGATACCCGTGTTTATTCGACGCCGCAAGCACTCAACACCCGTGATTTTTCCACGCCCGAGACTATTGAAAAGCATTTAGGACACCCGTTAGTAGGCTGCTACTTAACAGCGTCAAGCACTAAGGAACATCGTCACATAAATCTGAGCTTACTTGCACAGGTCACTGATCGAGGAACAGCGCTGTTTGGACTATTTTATATATGACTTTAGTCTTACATAGTCTCTCCAACGAAGACACCATGGTCTAAGTAAAATTTTGGGATAGGATACGCGGAGAATTGATCACTATCACGCTATATATAACGCGACAGGTGAAAAATCATTGAAGCAACAGAAAACGTTTTCCGTCGATCTTTTCCGGATAGCCTGATATAAACACCAGAGGGTGTTTGAAGAATTCGAGATAGTTACACTTGCTAAAGTATAACCTTCCAGAGTAGGCCTTTTGCATTAGTTGGTCACGTGATCAACTTTTTGTAAACACAAAAACAGTTCGCTTTTGGAAAATTTTGTTAGTAAGAGCTGAAAGAACTTATTAAATTAAGGTGACTTGTAGATTTTCAGCAGTATATCTCAAAAGTAGCGATTGCAACGGCCGCCGAAAATTGGAAGGATTTGTATGGGAAAAACAACTGCCACCCAGTCACGCTTTACTGGTTTTCCATACAAATCCTTATAAACTTCGAAATTTTCAAACAGTCGTGAAATATTTCCTTAGCATTGCGAGGCTCAAATCTCATTTTTTAATTCGTAACAGGCAAGTTGAGCCCTTAAATGCGTAAGGGAAAGATTCAACGACAGTTCACCAATTTCAAAATTTTCAAGGATTTGTATGGAAAACCACTCATAAAAGTGTGACTGGGTGGCAAGTGTTGTTTTTCTCACATAAATCCCTGTAATTTTAGGCGGCCGTTGCAATTACTTAATCTTGATCTGCTCTTTGAGTTCCTACTAACAAAATTTTCCAAAAGCGAACTATTTCGTGTTGACAGAAAGTTGATCACGTGACTAACTACAAAGGCCTACCGTATTTATTCGATTAAACGCCGCCCTCGATCAAACGCCGCAGATGGAAGCAAAATTACCAGTAAACGCCCCACCTAATCAGAAGAATGCGGCGTTTACTCGAGGGTAATTAGAAAAACCTCTGCACAACTTGGTAATTTACACCATCCAGCAAAATGAAGGAGACATTGGAACCTTTAATTACATAATATTTACAAACGACTTACCATAAATGTTTTCAGTGATTCAAGAAAAGTGATTTCGAAATAAACGCCGCCCTGGAATAAACGCCACATTGGAAACGCTAAAACTTTAATAAACACCGCGGCGTTTAATCGAATAAATACGGTATTCTCGAAAACCTCGAGTGTTTTTATTTGGCCAGTATGCAAACACAAAAAAAGGTTTCTATTACTTTGCTAAAATAAAGTTGTCAAAAAAAAAAAAACTAAACAATATTCGAATGTAAGACAAAGTCGGCTTACATTAAATGTCGACTAGTTGATATAGAAAATATAGTTTTTTTTTATTTTCAATCACGGAATCTACTTTTTCTGCAAGATGCTGTCATTATAACGCCGTGCTGCCCTCTCAAAATCAAATTTAGTTTTGTATTGTGATTGAATGGACGGCCAAAACAATGAAAACACTGGCTTTGTTTCGTGCTCTGATAAAAAGAGAAATTCCCACTAGTTACGAAGTGTCGTTCACGAAGGTTTGTGCGCGTCATCTGGTTCTTTGTTTGCACATAACTGTTAGATCTTTTACCTAAGAATGGAGTTATCAAAATATGGATTCAATCAGTTCTCGCCCTTAACGTCTTACGATTTCACGAGCTGTCTCCAGTCAGTCTCTCTTTTAGTCTCGAAAAACCACAGCCCAATAATTTTTGGAGCATCTGTTGGGTTCGTTTCTTAGTTAGACAGCAGACATGCCAAGAGGTGGCGCTTGAATAGTGAAAGCCTACCATGACTTGCCGCTGCCACTTAATGGGCTCACTCATTGGAATAAACCTAAATCTCACATTTCAATATGGCCGCCAGCAAACTGTGTACATGTCGACAGTGGCCTGCGAGGCAGGCGCAAAAAGGGGAGAGAGAAAAGCACTAACCCTTTTGACGATTGCTACGCAGGCTAGTCAGCAACGACGAGGAAGATTGGTGGAGATGATTGTCCAGTGCACCAGCTTTAAAATGATACGTCACTTATAACACGCAGGAAATTTAATGCACCTGACTTTTTCCACTTTTCAGTACCTTTCACTACTTTTCCCAGCTTTAGGTTCAGAATCTCAATATTTTTGCCTCTTGGGGGTTGGCAAGTCTGCTGAAAATCAATTCTTATCCTTTCTTACTGCTTTTTTGCAAAGGACTTTTTGAGTTTCAAACACCGAGACAAATGGGTAAAGAAAGTAAAATTGACGAGTTTCAAGAGGGGGGGGAGGATTTTTTTTCAAAATTGTAATTTCGTGATCAGCGCGCGCGCTGCAAAACATCAGGTGAAGCTAGGCGACACCAGATCTTAACACCAGATCAGGCGAATTCTCACTGGGTCAGGGACGGGTGAGTCATTCACCCAATTCGGCCGACAAATTTGTATTGACATGATGACACAAAAACGTTAGTTTCCAGTAATACTCCCTTGGCCTTAGCTTGCGAATACATTCGTTTCTCCTTGCTCTTCGCCAATTAGAAACTTACCTAGGGGCGAGGAACTAGGAAAAACGGCTCTATTTGCAAGCTACCTTGGCCTTGTCTGATACTTAAAGTCGAACCTCCACAAACAGTTACCACTCCACAGCGGTCACTTTCTTTTGCCCCGAAGTGTCCGTTGTGGAGAGGTTCAACGATAAAATGGAACAGGAAACCCCCACACCCCCTCCGGCCCCAAATCAAGGATGAAGCCGCGCGAAGAGTAAAACTCGCCATTTTCCCATCTTTAATTGTGGGGAGAGGGGTCTAAATTTTCCATTTATTTTGTTCAAGATTGCTGCGAGCAAGTTCTCCATTGGCGGAGTCGCGAGAAGTCAAGCGATACGCGAGTGCGAGGGGCGTTCCCAGATTCTCTCTAGCTCCGTAGCGACGGGTAGGAGAGAATCCTGGGAACGAGGTTGGAGAAAGAAAGGAGAGCCTGCAACCAAATTTTCATTTCCACTCTGGAAACAACGGGAAACCGCAAAGCGTGAAAAACTGTCCCTAGTCTGTGAGCAGTCCCTCTTCAGTCAGTCGAGTCTAAGCTTGGCGACAGTCGCTTGTGTGACCATCCTGAGGGACTGCTCGCAGTCTAAACTGTCCCGGAAAAATTTGTTTTTACGATCAACCCGAAAGAAATGTCGACACTCTGTGAATTATGCATGACGATTGGTGTTCGCCATCAACGTCCGCTGTAAAACATTGCGGGCTTACATCCATAACAACAAGATGTTTACGATCGAGGAAGGGTTGTAAGGTTTTTATGTTTTAAAAGGTGATGCCCGCTAAAAAGAAAGGTAAAAAGAAGGGAAAGGGAAGTAGCAAAGGTGAAAATGAAGGAGAAGAAGGAGGAGGTAGACCTGAACCGACTGGAAAGGAACAGGAGCTTAGAAAAGAGTGAGTATAAGAAGCAAGCTTTGCATGGGACCGTCAATCAGTTGGCGAAAAAACTACCTTTTTGTATTTAATTTCGCGATTCTGGCAAGGAAGTATTTCGCGGGGTTTTATTTTCGCGATTTTAACGGGCAAATATGAAGAAAAAGCATTAAATTTTGCGATCTACGCATTCTCAACTTCATTTAAAAAAGAAAGTGTGAACCTTTAGATAAACTGGAACAAGGAATGCGTGAAATCTTTGCGAACTAACGTTATTTCACAACTGAAGATACAAAATGGGCTTGCCACTAAAACCAGTTAGCAATTTGTGTTTGTCGATACATATCTTGTATATAATAATATTATTTGTTGACTACACACTAGAGCTTCAAGTACTGTGTAATGTAAGTGTACTTGGAACCTACTTTGAGTGTGAAGGGGTAAAATGTAACTACTTCAGCATTACTTGGTGACCATGGAAATGATCGTAGTTCAAACAAGCTGAAGTTCGCCGCCAAGCATGGGCAACACGACACTTGAGAAGACACTTGTCCGATAAGAAATAGAAGCCATATGCACGATGTGCATGTGCAGCGGTTCCAAGATTTTAATGAACAGAGAGATTGACACCTTTTACCTCAAATAATATACTTTGTCAACAAGTGTGAAGCTATTTTTTCTACAGAGCGACTTAAGATCTCCAAGTGCACTTGAATGAAGTGCTTACTTAAAACCAACTTTGTTCTAGTG